TCATGCAGGGGGGCATTTCCTAACATCAGCTGAACCCTAGGGGCTTATTCACCGAATAAATAGAGAACGGTCATTCTGTCTCTTATACACATCTAGATGTGTATAAGAGACAGGGCTTATTCACCGAATAAATAGAGAACGGTCATTATAACTGAATTTCGCCCAACATATAGACTAGATACGGCGTTCGTGCCCGTTCGTTCTATTCGGACAAAGACGGTACGGAGCTTCCCCTGAGCGGGGGAGCTGTCCTTCATACAGTCTTCTGTTGGAAACAAAAAATAAAATAAAATAAATGAAGATGAGTTGCCACGTTCGATTGTTTCAAATGAAAAAAAACAATCTATTCTTGTTTTATCATTCCTTCTGGTGAATCTAAGGGGTGCCTTTCGATTTTCTTCAATTGCTAATCAGTTCACGATGTTTGAAGAAATTACTCAGAAAATTGATCTACTTTTTATCTAGGCTATTAGCCGGGCCGCCCGGGTCACCTTGTTTTCCAAGGCGGCCCGGCCGTGCAGGGACCAAGGAAGGTCCCAGCAAAAAAAAAAAGAGAAAAAGAAAGAAATGTTATGCAGAAAAAAGAAACTGAAACTTTTGCCTCAGGGTCACATCCAAATTCTTTACCAGATTAAAAAAAAACAAAAAACGCCCGGCCGGGCAAGTGTCCCCGGGCCACTCTGGCAGCCTTTATTTCTATCCGATATGTCTGGGCGTTGGGCTTCCTCTTCCCGGGAAGAGTAGTTTACGGGAATGCTCACTCTTTCTTCTCTGATTTTTTTTTTTTTTGAGGTAGTACACAATTGTGCAAGGAATATGACCGAGAGCCATAAACAGAAAACCAAGTTGCATAATCACGCACATAGTCCAGATAGTCATGTACCAAGCAGAGAGCTCAAATGCACCAAGATTCCATCCAAATAAGAGCGATACAACGAACTCGTGAGCCAACGCCCCAGCCCTGAGGCGAGCCAATGTCCAAGCCCTCAGGCCACACCAGTATCCAATGTCGCTCCTACTGTATGGCTCCCAGCGCCCAGCATACTCTACTCAGCATATCTATCCTATCTACATCCGTGCAACAGGCTCACTTCGGCCTCTAAGACCAACGCCGACCTCCCACATACACCACCTACGTTCTCTCGTCTCCCCTCATCAACACTCGGACCCCACACCTCATGCACCTCCTACTCGAAGATCACCTTTGCCATCACGTGCCTTGCCCCTGCAGCCCGGCTATGGCTGCTGTGCGCAGCGCTCCTCTTGCAGCGCCCCTCACCTCAGTGTGCCTGCGCTCGGCCAGCCAGCTAACACAGACACCAGTGCAGTAGTGCAGCAGCATGTCCGCATTGCCTGCTAAGGCCTCCATACCCTTCCCTGGCCAGTTCCCTTCCTTCATGGGAGGTGAGGCCGCGTTCCTGGATTCTTAGGCCTGGCCGGGAAGTTTCCAGTAGCTTCTGGTTGGGCCCCAGTGTCTGCGCCCAGGCCCACCTCTACAGTTAAGGGCCTGGGCCCCTTTTGGTTGGGCACTTTCAGTTAGCCTCCAGGCTCCAACTGTTGGCCGTGTTCGGATTGGCCTGCAGTGCCTATGTGACGACAATGCTGCATTCTCATTGGCCCGTGGCCAGTTCGGGATGTGTCGGCCTCTGCTGTTCCTGGAAGGATCCAGGGAGAGGC